TATTATTTTGATTAGCTCAGAAAAATAATTTTTCTGCTAGGTTGACTTTTTGACTAAAATTTGGTTTCTTTTAGTTATTGATCTAAGTCTTTATAGTCTTTGGGCTTTTTCAACCCTTCTCAAGTCATTACTTTAAGGGAAAGTCAATTTCACACGAGAAATAAACTATTACCAGTTAATTACCATATGAAACAATCCCATGTGCTTCTTATATTTTAATCTTTTCTGCTGAAAAAAAGAATTTAGTTTAATCTAAATTTTGAGTAACCGATTACAGCCTCACGGAGTATCCGATTCCAAGGCCTAGCTCACTGTTACAAATAAAGCTTATATTAAGGAAGTATGACAGTTACACGATGAACCTTTACTGTAACAGTATTAATATTCCCTTTAAGCCTTTGTGCTGCAGTTTCACTGTCAATGCCAACAAGCCTCTCACCTGCACAATCCAAATATTTTCAAACAAAGAAAATCACACCTGCTTCACCTGAGAGATTGCATCTCTATCTCCTGATTAAGTCTGACAGTGACAGCAGCTGAAAAATTATGAAGCATGCAAACCAGAAAACTGTTTTGAGGACTTTAGGAAGAGACTCGGGATAGTGTTATATTATGCCTCAAACTAAGATATGATATTTTCCATAATACCTTTTTCTACCTCAATTTAATCTATTCAGTATTAACATTACTAGCACCTTTGAAAAAATCATATAATAAATGGTTTTCAATGATAAACTACAGAAAATTAGATGATAACAAGAAGAAAAATATATATACATGATCAATACCATTTATCTCAATCAATTAATCTCTTTGATGTATACCAGCATGAGCAGTTGGACTGTCATTTATGCAAGACAATACAATATGTGATTTTAATTAAAATAAGTAATTAAGATATTATTTTATATTACTTTTTTTTATTAATTAAAATTAAAATATTATAATACTTTTATTATTGAAGTATTTTGATAAACTTATTCTAACATGTAAAGACTGAATATGGACTGAAGAAGTGATTTGAGATATGTTAAGTATTAGTATTAATATGACAGACATACTTAATACATATTTTTTAGAAAAATATCATAGATATTCTTTATAAAATATCCTATATAAATCTATACAACGATCACACAGACAAATTTTTCTATAAGTTTAGAAGATAAACTTAGAAAAAAAATTATTTTCATTATATTTTGGATGACTGTTCATATGAGATATATATGATTTAATTTTGAAGTTTTTGTTAATATTTTAATGGACAACACCATCTAAGAGAGAATGGTGTTTAATTCTAACTTTTTGGGATGTAGAAAATTACACATTAAGATTGTCAAAATTTTAATGATGAGAAACAAAAAGGTCCTACCGGGAGTCGAACCCAGGTCGCTGGATTCAAAGTCCAGAGTGCTAACCACTACACCATAGAACCATTTTTGCTTATGAAGATACACTTTACTAAAATAACTTAAACTTCGATCTTAAACATACATGAAAGAACATAAATTAAATGACAGTTTATATATATATATTTTAATGCTGAACTACTTACAATATTTTAGCCAAATATTTTCTATTATTAATTAAAGTGATGTATTCTCCCTTATCTCTTTGGGTAACTCAAGCCAACAAGAAATCTTTAGGCATATAAACAACTAAAAAAGAAACGTCTATAATTATTTAACCAATTTCGGAAGTGAAAAACAACCTAAGGCTCCTCAAACAAAACGGTCCAATAAATAATTGAAGATAGACATTGAATATTTAGGTTGTTTCATAACATTAGATTTCTGACATTTGCACCAAATAATCACACACCAACACAATCCAATAACAGATCCTATTTTTACAAGCCGCCGTTCCCTCAATAAAAGTAAAATCTTTTTGTCTGCTATTTGACTCACTAATTTTCTCCCAACTATTAAGATTTACTAACCCTTTTTACAAAAATCTGTTTAACTTTCAAAGCTAAAAACTTTACTCTTGTTTAAGTTTCCTGAATATGAATATTTTTATGTGTATTTGAGATCAGAAAGTGGTTATGATAGTAATATATCTTGAGATAAAAATGATTAAAGATAAAAATAATCTTAATCCATATAGTTATTTCTTCTTATATATACAAAATCATCCAATAATTGTGTTATAATGGAACAAGGGTGGTAGCAAGTAGCTGGCAGGCTGAGGCAACCCAGTCAAACCCACAAGTCTTGACCCAATTGAGCTTTCCACGGTCAAACATTTCTTCACCTTCCTAGAAGCACCTTCCAAGACTTTTTTTCTGGTGATTTCAAGCTTTGCCAAAAAATCTTGCACCAATTCCCTCCTATATTATCACTATTAACTTCTGTCTCCTCTCCTTATATCATGCCACACACCACTTTCTGTTTTTCCAATACAAACTAAAAACCTACCAACCTTTTCTTCCCTCAAGAAGATATCTTTCACTCACCTTCTTTCCAACAATTGTAACAAACAACAATACTATAGTAACATGACCATGGGTGATCATAATAGTAACTGGGGAACTTCTGAATTTAAACATCATCAACTTGGACTTGATGTTCCAAAATTCAAGTCTGCTCAACCTCCTTCTCTACCTCTCTCTCCCTCTCCCCCTTCCCCTTCTTCTTACTTGCCCTTTTCATCTGCTTTCAGCCCATCCGAGTTCTTCAACTCTTCTTTGTTTTTGCCTTCTCCAAATGTAAGTTACAAGCTTTCTCATGTAAATAATCTGCTCTGGTTTGGTTTCATCACTAATTGTGGGGTTTTCTTTGGTGTTATGTGTGTGGTTTTTAGATTTTTGCATCTCCTACTACTGAGGCTTTGGCTGCGCAGACCTTCAACTGGAGGAACGGTTCAGGAGAAGAAGAACAACAACGTGACAAAGAGGATGAGAAAAACTACTCGGACTTCTCTTTCCAAACCCAAATTCAATCTTCCTCAGGCATGCTTCAAGTGGTGAGCACTGTTGTCTTTTTGTCACTATTTCACTTAAACAAGTGTTATTTTCTGTGTCTTTTTGGTTAATCTTTGATCATCAAATACACTTGCAGGCTGGTTGTTGTTCTCTTTTCTGTTTAGACATTTGGACTCGTTTCTAATGTTAGCTTCATAGTTTTTCTTTTTGTCTCGGATCGCTTTGTGGGGTCAGTTTATTGTTTACTTGTTTTTAATGGTCCTTTGTATTATATTCTTCTTCTTTGTTAATCTTATCTCCCTATTTTATTTTTGTTGGCATAAACACGGTTTGAACGGTTAAAAAAGAACTTGCATAGCATATTCCAAGTTGAAAAATTCTAAGCCAAAAGTATGTCAATGTATGTTTCTATGTTTTGACAAACAATAAACTCCATAGTAATGATATAATCAAGCTGCATAATCACAGTAAACAATATTTGATTTATTGATGACTTGAAACATGTTATTCTTGTCGTGTATTTGGATTTGTATTCTAACTACCTGTTTTACTTGAGCAGCAGGAACCTCTTAAGAAGCAAGATATGTGGAAATTCAATGAACCTTCAAAGCAAACTGATTATTCATCTGAGAGGACAGCAACAAAATCTGAATACCCTCCGATTCAGAGCTTTTCCGCAGAAATGGCATCGCACAAATCAGAATTACAAAGCAATTCAGTTCCTGGGTCTGGTCGTTTTAATTACGCCAATGCATCTCAGTCTGTTAGAGAACAAAAGAGATCGGAAGACGGATTCAACTGGAGAAAATATGGACAGAAACAAGTGAAAGGGAGTGAAAATCCTCGTAGTTATTACAAATGCACACATCCAAATTGCTCTGTGAAGAAGAAAGTTGAGAAGTCTTTGGATGGCCAAATTACTGAAATAGTGTACAAGGGCCATCATAACCACCCAAAACCACAGTCTACTAGAAGAACAAGCTCTCAATCAATTCATCAACCTTCTTCATCTTGCACAAACTCTGGGATTTCTGATCAATCAGTGGTGACCCTAGGCAATCCACAAATGGATCATTTCTCCATGAAGGAAGATTCTTCAGCTTCTGTAGGAGAGGAGGAGTTTGAACAAACATCCCAAACCAGTTATTCTGGGGGAGATGAAGATAACCTTGGACCAGAGGCAAAAAGATGGTAAGATCGATAAACGACAATCTAATGGCCTGATTCACTACTTTAGAATGAAAATGCAGAGTTTACTTGGTCTGAAATATAATATAACTAATTCTGATTCACTTTGTTTCAGGAAAGGAGATAATGAAAATGATGACTATTCCGCCTCAGGGAGTAGAACTGTGAGAGAGCCTAGAGTTGTAGTTCAAACCACAAGCGAAATTGATATACTTGATGATGGCTTTAGGTGGAGGAAATATGGACAGAAAGTAGTGAAAGGAAATCCAAATGCAAGGTAATTAACTGAAGAGAACAAAGACCTTTAGTCAATGCTTCTATGCGTTACAGTTCATTGTCATCAATACCATAACTTGTTCACATTCCATGTGCAGGAGCTATTACAAATGCACTGCCCCTGGTTGTTCAGTGAGAAAACATGTTGAGAGAGCTGCGCATGATATCAAAGCTGTGATCACAACCTATGAAGGGAAACACAACCATGATGTGCCTGCTGCACGTGGTAGCGCAAGTTATAACATGAACAGAAATCCTGTGAACAGCAGCATATCGGCTCCTATAAGACCCTCTGCAGTGAACTGTTATTCCAACTCATCAGGTTTCAAAAATTCTCTCTACAATAATACCAAACTTCCAGCAACCAGAAATCAGGAATCTTTTGCACTGGACAAGTTCCAGAACCCTGGAAATTTTGGCCAATCGGCTCTCAACAAATCAATGAGTTCATACACGGATCATGCACCGTACTCACATGCTACATACTCAAATGCCAAGGATGAGAGAAAGGATGACTCCTTCCTTCAGTCATTTCTGTCAAAGGACTTCTGAATTTTGCCCTACTTATTAATATTATCCTGGATATGTTATTGTATAGCATGTAGGATTTTAGTTACTCATCACAGCAGAATATGGACAAAGAATTCCCAATTGTTTTCTTGGTTACCTCATTTAGATTAGTGAGTGGAACTACAGCCATAGTGACAGCAAATTGTTGCTATACTACCTGTCTACCAAGTTCATCTCCCAATAGAAACTTTGATCTTTATCATATGATTTGACGAATGAATTCTATTATTCTTTTGTTGTATTTTAGGGGAAAAGGTTTTCTTGGAAGAATCTTCTTTAATTAATCTTGTAAGAATGCTTGTGCTGGCAATTTCCACTATGCAGTCTCTACTTCTTGTTTATATTAAATGATTTGTGATGACTGATGAATATCAGGAGGTCCAGAATTTCCATATTTTACAACGCCATCTCAGACTTTGATAAATATTCAATTCAAAGTCCTTATTGCCCTCAAAACAAAACATAGTCCTTGATGCAAATTTTGATGATAATGAAATGTTTAGTAACTTCTTATTTAAGTAGAAAAGAAGAGGCAGTTCAGAAAATTTTCACGGCAGAGAATTTTGTATTAAACTAGTGTCCAAATTTTGAAAGTTGAAATCTAACATTTTAGCAAGTCAAGTCTTTTATTGCTATGGAAACAAAATGCACTTCAGTTCTGACTTCTATTGCCTGTGTCTCAGACTCAGGCAAGAATAATGCATTCCCCACATTGGTTTTTCCTTTTTTGGCCAAACTGGTCAATAAACAGTCTCCAATACAAAAGAGATTAAACATTACATGTATTGGTATATTAAATCAATATCAGATCTCACTGTTTAACATGTGAACAGAGCCAGAGAGGTGAGGTCTGAGTTCCTTTCTCATCTTTACAGAAAAATGTGATTTGTATAGAAGTATGAAAGTGTGAAACAATAATAGGGAGAGTTTTGCACAGTTCCGCCTTCAGATATAAGGTTGAGTTGATAGTTTGTAGCCAGAAATAAGGGCTGATGCTGCTAGAGACAAAAAGGCAAAAATAGACATGCTAATGGCTGCAGCTGAAGCATCTGTAAATATATTGTCAGACCCTTCCCTCATTCTATTTGTCAATGGAACTGCTGAAGAAGCAGATGACATCAAAAGATATGCAACAATCTGCAACAAAAAACGTTATGCAATTAAGATTTGTAGTCCTTCAAAGGGCAAATATTTCGCATATCATAGCCAATCATAAAGGTTGTGATTTTGAATAAACAAATATACTTTAAAGCTTTGAGTCATTCAAACTGAAGCCTCTACCAACTGATAGATCATCTGAATATTATATGGTGTTGCCATCAGTTGGACTCATTAACTTGTCCAAAACTAAGGCCAATAAAAATCTCCCATGTGATTGCATTATTGAAGCATTTAAAACGTCACTGCATTCTTATAAAAACATTTCATTTTAAACATTCCATATTTTGGGCCTTGCTCCCTCTATAATTGTTTCATGTTGATTAACAGCCCATCCTTATTAGGAGTCCTATCAGATATTCTTTCATTTTCACGATTTCCGTAGAGGTAACTTCTGAAAGAAGTAAAAAGTTTCCAACCCAATCTTTTAAAACTGGTGATAGCTCTCAGCCATTCAGCCTCAAAGGACGCAACAAATTTTGATTCAACTTAAACTTAAACACACCGACTTTGATTAGTGACTCCTCACAAGCCATAGAACCAGACATACGATAATAAAAAAAGCTGGATCGACGAAATTAGAGAAAAATGATATCAAACCTGATCACCAGAAAAGTCAATGATAGCTGCCATTTTTGGCTTAAGCAATTGTTTTGCAGTGGAAAGTTCATGAATTTGACGGAACGCTTGGCCTCCAGTGTACAAACTAGACAAAATCGCTATAGCTAGCAAGTACCTGTCATTCTCCAAATCACAATTCAACTTCATCACTATCGTGAATCCACTATCTATGTATCTAAAACTGAAGTTTTGTATTGTGATTCAATCAATTATAATTGTCATGATAAAGATCACACATTTTATATAGAATTTATTTAAAGTGTAATTTAAAAAAGAAGAAACCACATGTATTATATCCTTGTGGTTGTGAGAAATAACCTTGCTTGAGTTGTTGTGACAAAATTCATTATTAGGAGTGACAAGGGTTTTGAAACTTTTTAACATAACTGCACATTTAGAGTTTGAATCTGAGACAATACATTAAGCTAGAACAAGTTCTGACAGCTAATTCACATATTCAATGCTCTCTAAAGTGTATTGATTCCTGGTGTTAAATAAAATTAAACTCATAATTTTGTTGGTTTCTCAATGTTTTTCCCTTTAGGAGATAACAATTCACACACAAGATGTGAAAACCTCTATCAGTGGAAATTCGAGCCTTGGTTTGTTTCACTCCACGAGAGACCAGTCATTTTGGTTAGACCAACCCTTCTTGTTTATTTAACACATTATATTTCTAACATTTATCTGTCTCAAAACCAATAAACTATCCTAACAACTCAGACCAACGAATAGTTTTATCTCACATCTCAATTCTCAGATCAACATTAAAAAAAAAAAACAAATCTTGACCAATACCAATGGTTCTTAATCCAAAATTCCAAAAACCGGGTGTCAGATTTCTACCTGTACTCTTCATATTTGTCGAAATCTCTCCAATCGCCGTGTTTATTGCTGGCCATGACAATGAATGAAATCAAAGAGAGAAACAGAGCGATCCCTCGCAGTGCTAATGACCCTCTCTTCATCAAGTCCTCCCTCTTCCACCGCCGCAGGATTCCGGCTATTCCACCGCCGCCGGTAGCCGACGTCCGTTGGCTCTCAGTGGGCGCAGAAGGCGCCACAGGGGGAGACTGAACATGTATCTTTGGCGACGAATTTCCGTCGGGATTTGACATCTTGTGTTTGGTTTTGGATTGGGATTTGAAAGAATTGAAGTGAAAGAAAACAGCGTGGTCTGGTGTTTTTGTGTTTGCTAATGTAAGGTGGCAATGTTGGTAAAATCGTTATGGAAGTTATCGAAGTTTCGGGGGAACAGAGTGGTCTGAGCTCACGCGCGCGTTATTAGTAGCGAAGATGACGTGGCGTGATGGCATTGGTTGAAGGAGCGAGAGTATCCAAAAAAAGGAATGATATAGCTGCCACAGCAATGTTGCGATGATGGCAATGATGCATGATTGGGAGTGCCAGCGTGGCAATGAGATAACTACATTGGAAAGTTAATTTCTATATAATTTTTTATTCATCTAAATACACTCTAATTCATCATGAATTAAATTTAGTTTATTTAAATACAAATTGTGTCTCACTTTTGCTTAATTAATAAATTATATGAAAAAAACAGCTTATGAGATCAATTTATGAATTATTCTCGATCTTAATCTTTCATTTATTCTATATTAAGAACTCAAAAGATTAATAATTTCTCAATTGAAAATAGTTATGTTAAAAAGTATTAAATTCTCACTTCTCTTTATTAATATATGTAAATGATTATCTCTCTTTCTTATCATAAAAAAATAGATCTGTTATCAAAATAAGAATCATAATTTGTAACAATGTAATGAATATAATTATTTTAATTGACTATGATTTATTTTTTCACGTTTAAAATTAATGTATGACTCCTATAACTACGCATAATCTCTTACAATCATCATTTTCAATCTTTGTTTAAACAAATTATTTTTTACTTTATTCTTTTTATGGCAAAAAAGTTAAATAAAAAAGAATGTATTATCTCCATTTTCCACAAATGTTAAGCCAAAAAAATATTTACAAAATATAATTAATTATTAAAATCAAAATAATAATAAATTAACAATGTAATGAATACAATTATTTTAATTGACTATGGTTTATTTTTTTCACGTTTAAAATGTATGACTCGTATAACTACGCATATCATCATTTTTCAATCTTTGTTTAAACAAATTATTTTTTAATTTATTCTTTCTATGGAAAAAAAGTGAAATAAAAAAGAATGTATTATCTCCATTTTCCATAAATGTTAAGCCAAACAAATATTTACAAAATATAATTAATTATTTAAATTAAAATAATAATAAATTATAACGTATAAATTTTCTTATTTCTTCTTTTTTATATTCATTTTTTACACTCAATTATATTTTAAAAATACAATATTTTGAATACTTTAATTATCTTACGTATTCATAATAATAGAAGGGAATAAAGAAAAATAGATAGTGAGTTTGATAACATTGTTTTACTTTTCTTTACCTTTAATCTTTGTTTTTAGTATATTAATTAAAAGAGAAAGAATTGGAATAGTTAGAGACACATCTCATAAAAGAAAGATTTGTTTAGGGATAATCAATATGCACGAATATTCGGTTGTTAATGTAAAATCAGATGAAAGGTTGAAAATGAGAATATTTAATATATATATATATATATATATATATATATATATATATATTTAAT